TTAATAAATCCTGGGAGGCAATTATGAATACAATATATTTATAAAAATCTTTATATTCACATCAGTATTTTTATTATGGCAACACATTGAACTGATTTGAATATTAGGTCAAACGTCAGTAATTTAATGACTGACTATGATAAAGCATACTTCCCTTATCTTCTGAAATACAGGATACACTTTCCCTCTTAATTATTGGTCAATTCTTTATTAACTTAAACCATAGACTAACCAACACAAGGGAGTATAGTATGTTTTATCTATGGTTTTATCTATGCTTTAGATTTCTCATCCTTATGGAACAGCTGAAGACAATTTTATTGTTAGTTCATGTACGGTTTATGTAGAGGTCGTGTTTTGTTTACAATTTGTTTCCCGTTATTACAGCCATTTAAAACCTCGTTTAACCAAATAATACGATCTAATCATAAACAATAACTTGTCCCCTAGTTATAGAACCAAACAGTAAAGCACAAATCAAGAAATTAACCCTAAAATAATGGAAACAAAGTTTCATCGACACTAGCGCCTTTGTGTCACGTACATGAACTAGACACGAAAAACGTGCTTCAAAATTTACAATGGGATGAGAAGTCTACTTGTGTTGGTTTTAAACGTATGTTTAATCAAAATTAATGTTATGACAAAACTCTGCAGCTTCATGACAAATTACTATAGCCACGCCACCTGTAAAGGTAAACAAGGTGAAGAAAAAGTTGTGTTGTGTTTTGTGTTGTGAAGTTGTGATTTCTGATTTGGGATTGTTATAATTAATTTTAGCTCAGTGGATTCGGATTGGGACTATACGAGACCTTGCCGTCAGACCGTCACCGCCCACCTTCGTCTGTCTAGAAACGGGACAGCGGAATTGAAATCCGAACTGAACATCTGATCGCGGGTTTCTGTCATCACCGAGCCTGTTTTAAATTACGCGGGAACAAAGTACAGTAGCCGTTTAATGTTAAATATAAGTCTAAATATGTGAATTGAAAATTATTTCTAGAATAATTATAAAAAATTACAAAAAACTATATAAGTCCAAATAAAGATGAATTACATAAAAATCCTAACTATTATTAATTGTTGTTTACACTGTTTAAATACCTAACAAAAGTATAGGAAGAAAATTTTAATTCCATGTCGTTCTAAATTATAGCTAACAGGTAGGCCTATTTTCAGCTGTGAACATTTTAAAACTTGTAACATACCTCGTGTTAAAATTCCTGGTCTTCAAAATAAATTTTTCTTAAAATGTAACAATTTAACACATATATTGATACACACTCACACACACAAATAATATTTACATTTATTTACAACATATTTTCTTCATCTTGGAAACTGTAACAACAAAATGAACACAAAAATGTGGCTATTTTAAATGAGAAATATCTTATTGTGAATTTTCTATAGGCCTACTTGTTTATTTTGTTTGTTTGTCAGTGTCACAAGTTACTCAGCATGGGTCTACGTTTATGTTTGTTGGTACCAGTATCTCTGTGAAAATATCTGGAATGTCAGTGTGTGTGTTCAAGTTCAAAAACTTTTATTTCAGTAAAAGATTTCACTAGCATAGTGAATGAGTTTTGTGAATGAGTCACTGGGCCGAGTGAATACAAGTACAGCAAGTATTTACTTGTGAGTAAATACTTGCGAGTATTCGTCGTTCAAGTAATCTCTTGTGAATAAAAGCGACTCTTTACTTGCAAGTAAATACTTCCTAAATGAGATGGTATACTCACTGATCTATCGGAGATGAGGGTATACTTGCAAGTATGTACTCCATTTTAAAGTAAACATTATACAGTACAAGTATATATATATATTAAATAAATAAATATAGATAAATATATATATTGTTGAAGGTCTAAGGCCTTCATTTAAACATGTAAAATGTGAAGGTTTTGCATTATTGAGACTTGTGGATGGATTTTCATTAACAAAATAGCTTCAACATAACGAAGGAATACCACAAAGGTTCCATCTTCAATTACCCAAGCATTATTTTGCGGAAATTACTAGAGTCACACATAATTTAAATAAGTGTATTACACTATACTGAATGTGTTACATGCATTTATCAACAAGTAAATTTAAACAAGCATGGGTTATTGATAACTAGTTGAAAAACAAGTATTTACTCTTTAGGCAAGTATTTGCTGGTGGTTATTCACACCAAATTTATAGGTTTATGAGGATATATACTTCCTTGGAAAGGCTTTTTTAGAAGTACAAGTAAATACTCATGCTTATTCATTTCTGTTCAAGTAAATACTCAAATTATGAAAATTCAAGGCAAGTAAAAAAATGTAAAGAACAAGAACTTTAACTTAGAAAATAAGAATGTGTCAGCTGTTGCAATTTCATTTAATTTATAATTGATGGTTGATTATTACCTAATGATTACAAATTATTAAATATATTTTTTTTGCAAAGTTTTATTTACAATCTGTTTTAAATTAAACGATAAGTAAATATGATGACATTTATATAAATTAAATTAAAATTGGGGGAAAAATTATTAAAATGTATTATCTATACTAATATATAAAAATGAGATGGTGTGTGTTTGTGTGTCTGTCTACTACTCAATAACGCAAAAACTACTGAACCGACTGGGCTCAAATTGCACACACATGAAGCTACAGTTCCGAGGATACATATAGAACCATTCCCGCTTCGATATTGTCCTAGGGCTCTGCCCAGTGGGCTTTCAAAAATTTGAGGTGAGAGATTTAAAAGTAAATATTGATTGATGGTATATCCATGGTAACAAAGAACAAACCTACAAAGTTTAAAAATATAAACAAGCAGAACTAACTGTCAAATCCTATACTCTAATATGAGAAATGTTTGCTTGTATGTATGTATGCTTGCTTGCACAAAGATCTCGAAAACGGCTCCGACGATTTTCTTCAAATGTTGTAAATAGTTTATTTCTGGCCTAAAAACGAGTTTACTGCAGTTAGAACTGCCAACAAAAATCTAATTACGTAGAAAAATGAAACTGAAAATCACATTTTTTTAACATTAGTCTTATGGGTTGCTAGGTAACCATGTTGGCTGAATTAAATAACAAGGAAAAAGTAAACAAAAGACTTGAAGTTGTAGCATGTGTTCATAATAAGCCAACTACCCACAGTATATTAGCAAATTACAAATACAGTACAAAAGGAAAAACATCCCTTGTTAATATTTAGCAAAGATTATACTGAAGATTACTCGATACATTGTAGTCAAGGGTAGCAGCGCGAAGTCTGGGATCTGTTGATGACGATTAGATTAAGGTATCTGCAATCCTAAAATGCTATGGGAAGGGAAGGAAACAGGTCCGCGACGTAGGAAGTGGTGAAGGAAGTAGTAAAGGCAATCATAAAATGCTATGGGAATAGAGAGAAACAGGTCCGTGACGTAGAAAGTGATGAAGGAAGTAGTAAAGGCGAGCAGTCCGGAGTGTGGGGATTGTTTATGACGATAAGATTAGGGTATCTGCAATCCTAAAATGCTATGGGAAGGGAGGGAAACAGGTCCGCGACGTAGGAAGTGGTGAAGGAAGTAGTCAAGGCGAGTAGTCCGGAGTGTAGGAACTGTTTATGACGATTATATTAAGGTATCTGCAATCTTTAAATGCAATGGGAAAGGAGGGAAACAGGTTTGCAACACAGGAAGTGGTGAAGGAAGTAGTAAAGGCGAGTAGTATGGAGCGTGGGAACTGTTTATGACGATTAGATTAAGGTGTCTGCAATTCTGAAATGCTATGGGAATGGAGGGAAACAGGTCAATGACGTAGGAAATGGTGTAGGACGTAGTAAAGGCGAGCCGTGTGGAGTTTGGGAATGGATTTATGTATCTCCAATACTAAGACTGCTTTTAGAGTGAACTAATGATTTTCTCCGAGCAAAGCTCGGTCCCCAGGTAGTGAGTTTTGATTTCACAATTCCACTCCACACAGCTGGTTCAAACATATTAAATACTGCACGAATATTAAAACAGAGAGGGTAAGGATTATAAATTTAAAATAATGATGTCACTAGCCCGAATGTAAACATTATTTAACATTACTTAAATGGAGCTGTCAAACAATATGTTAATATAATTTCATCAGTTACACCATTTGTTTATGTTTATGATCTATTATACTGAGTCTGTTCTAATATTTGTGAAATGCTGTAATAATATTTTACAGGCAATAATTCGTTGTAAAAGAAATCATTCATGGATATAGGAAATAATTAAGATTCTATAATCATTGCCAAGCCATTATCCTGAGTTTTATGAGGTTTATTTTTATTTTTCTGTAAACAGCAATATAATCCCCCTTCCGCAGCAAATTTATAGACTTAGTGAATTTCCATTTACCTGATTATAATTTTGATAAAATATGTTAAAAAAATTACCCTATTCTTCATATTTATTTCAATTTTCCTATTTGTTTCTATTTTTCGGTTTGTAACTGTTGTGATAGTTTTTTTTTGTTTACAGTGCAAACCATTTTAACACGTTCTTTTATTGTACCTTAAAATCTATCATTGGTTTTGTATCGTAGGTAGCCTAAATAAGTACTCACAGTATGAGTACTTATTTTTTACTTATACTTATACTTTTCCCCCTCAATGAATTCGTGTATTTCACGAAGGTCAAATACCTACACACGACTAATCAGTACACCCCAAAATTGGGGTACCAAATTATTGGTAGTAATTTTATTGGGTTCAGACAAAACCCACCGATTAACAAAACTCTTATCACAAAACTGAGCACTGGCATACATCATGCATTGTTGACAAGACAAGCCAAAACGATTAAGTACACCACGCGACTACGCGACAGACAGCATTGAATTTGACGTTTAAGTTCGGCACTGCTCGGTAAGATTCGGAAGTGTTCGGCACAGCGCAGTAGTGGGGGAAGCGTTGTTCCGATTTCAAATTCCGCTGTCCCGTTTCTAGACAGACGAAAAAAAGGGCGGTGACGGTCTGACGGCAAGGTCTCCTGGGACAATTGGGGGGAGCGAGTGAGTAAGTTAACTTTCCCGTTTCGCTTCGCAGATTTTAGTTCTGTTAATTAATTGTTTTTGTTAGGTTAAATTTTTGTAATTGAAGATAAATATGTTTAGCTGAAAATTAATTATACAATTTTTAGTATGGAATAAATTGTGTGAGCAAGAAGTTTACATCTTGATTTCAACTTCGGCCCAAATAGGCTACTACAGGCTTGGATCTACGCTACACACAAACTTGTTAGGCCTATTTCTCAGTTTAGTTTCTCCTTCTCGTGGACGAATGCCAATAATATACTGTGGGCCTAGCTTGAGTTTTAATATTGCTATCTAAACACTGTCCTCGATTGGTGATAATGTTAAGATCAATATTGGGTGGTAAGTTATTGTGCAAAGTTCTATCATTTTTAGGTTGTAACTAGGCCTACTACTAAAGGGGTACAGTTTCAGCTCTCTGGGCTACGCTAATATTGATTGAAACTATTGAATTCAAAATATTGATTAATAATCAATTTTTAAATAGCCTATATCTATTATAAAATAAATCTATCATAATCCAACCCAACCAACCAAACTTGCTGATGGTGATAAAATCGCATGAAGGTTTACTAATAAAATCGATAATTTCAATCGATATTAGCGTAGCACTGTTAAGAAACTGTACCCGACTAAGTTATGATATCTCTTAAGGTATTCTCTTACCTTTAATGTTTATCTACAACACTAGCACTTAGGCCTATTTTTTTTATTAGCCTACCTATATTTTTTTATAAATTCTGCATAAGGTTTGATTTGGTTCAGTAAAATCTTAGATAGGCTAGGGCTAACATAATATTTTGTATGTTGAGTTAAGTAAGGATATTCCTCTGAAGTTGTTACATGTTTCTTTTTCACCCTTTTTCTGGATCGGTACAGTTCCAGAATCACTCCATTCCATGGGCATTTCTTCTTCAATCCATATTTGCCTAATCAGTTTACGGTATGAATTTCTTCAATACCGGTAGTGTTTTTACTGCAATATTTCATTAACTCTATTGCTAATTCATCTCCGCCTGGTGCTTTTCCCTTTTTTTAGTTTTTTATTGCTTCCTTTACTTCTTGTAGGGACAGTTCTTGTATACAGGTTTGTACATTTTGGTAGATTGTTAAGATCTTCATTGTTATCATCACCTTCTCCTTTAAAAAGATCCTCGAAGTATTCTTTCCATATTTTTAGAACGTTAGTTTTCTCAGTCGTTTTTATTCAAATTCTGTCTTTAACCCCTGTTTTTCCCCTTTTATATCCTTTCTGGAAATGTCTTACTGTAGGCCTAGCTTAAAAATCTTTCATGTTGTTGCTGAATCTTATCATTTTCAGCCTTATCAAGTTGGTTATGGATATAAATTTGCTTTTCTCTAAGGTCTTTAGTTACTTCTTAGTTTGTTCTTCTATACTCATTTCTATTTTCTTCTGTGGGCTTATTAAGAAAATTTATTTTCGTTCCTTTCCTTATTTCTAAATTTGCTCTTCACATGTTCTGTTAAACCAAGGCTTTCCAGTACGGTACGATTACTTTTCTTAAAACCAATGACTTCTTCTGCTGTTTCCGTTAGCCTATTATATTCTTGATTTTAAGCCATTCTTCATTTACATTTGTTTTCTGAGCGGAGCGAGCGAAGCTCTTATACGTTGACTTTTATGCATTTCGTAATACGCAAACTCCTCCTAGACGGCTGAATCAATCGTTTTCAAATTTTGCATGGTGATAAAGACCATATCGGTGAGTGCCAACATCTACATGGCGTTAAAAAAGTCTCTCAGGAATCCGCCCCACTGGGTCTCAAAGTTTCAATGTAATCCTTATGGAAGCAGTATTTGACACATAAACAAAGACATATGATCAGCTGTTGACTTTTGAATGCAGTAGATAAATAAATAGCTGATAGCATTATTCCACAGATATTAGAACATAAACGGTGGTAGGGCCTATGGATCATAAATAAATATAATCAAATGACTACACTAGCTTGAGGTCCGTGACGTCGGAAGTGGTGAAGGAAGTAGTAAAGGTGAGCAGTCTGGAGTGTGGAAACTGTTTAAGGCAATTAGATTTAGGTAGGTATCTGCATTCCTAAAACTCTATGGGAAGGAAGGAAAACGGGTCCGTGACGTAGGAAGTGGTGAAGGAAGTAGTCAAGGCGAGTTGCCCGGAGTGTGGGAACGGTTTATGACGATTAGATTAAGGTATCTGCATTCCTAAAATTCTATGGGAAGGGAAGAAAACGGGTCCGCGACGTATGAAGTGGTGAAGGAAGTATTCAGGGTGAGCTGTCCGGAGTGTGGGAACTGTTTATGACAATTAGATTAAGGTATCTGCAATCCTAAAATGCTATTGGAAGGGAAGGAAACAGGTCCGCGACGTAGGAAGTGGTGAAGGAAGTAGTAACGGCGAGCTGTTCGGGGTATGGGATCTGTTTATGACCATTAGATTAAGGTATTTTCAATCCTAAAATGCTATGGGAAGTGAGGAAAACAGGTCCGCGCCGTAGGAAGTAATGAAGGAAATAGTCAAGGTGAGCTGTCCGGAGTGTGGAAACTGTTTATGGCTATTAGATTAAGAAGGTATCTACAATCCTTAAATGCTATGGGACGGGAGGAAAACAGGTCCGCGATGTACGAAGTGGTGAAGGAATCAGTATAGGCGAGTTTTTCGGAGTTTGAGAACTGTTTATGATGATTAGATTAAGGTATCTTGTATCTACAATCTTAAAATTCTATGGGAAGAGAGGGAAACAGGTCTGCGACGTAAGAAGAGGAGAAGGAAGTAGTAAGGTGAGCAGTGTTGAGTTTGGGAACTGGAAACCGTGATTAATGTATATACAATGCTGAAATGCTATGAGAAGGGATGGAAGCATGCCCACGGCATAGAAAATGGTGAAAGAAGTAGTAAAGGCTAGCAGTGCGGAGTGTGGGCAATGTTTGTGGCAATTAGATTAACGTATATAAAATACTAAAATGCTATAGAAAGTGATGAAAACAGGTCCACGATGTAGGAAGTTAAGTAAAGTATGAACATATTGTGAGAACCGTCTGTGGTGGCAGTTAGATTAATGTATCTTCAATCCTAAAATGCTATGAGAAGGGAAGGAAACAGGCCCCACGACGTAGGAAGTGGTGAAGGAAGTAGTAAAGGCTGGCAGTGCAGAGTGAGGGAACCGTTTGGGCAGTAAGATAAATGTATCTAATACTTAAATGCTATGAGAAGGGAAGGAAAAAGGTTCCAGTGCTTTTTTAGTTTGTTTTGTGTGTTTGTTACCGGTTGTGTGGTGTTCAAAAAATATGTTTGATGTTATTGTCAGACGTTCCTCATTACTAATTGAACTTGTCATGAGTGTATCTTCTTTAGCTGTTGGCGCAATTCAAGTAACTTGTCGAACGATGCAGTAACACTAAACACATACATAAGGTAATAACCAAAATAACTCCGAACTATGGTTTCGCATGTGCTCGTAAAAAATTTGGAACACAAATGGTTTTTCCGTTAGGAAGGGATGGACCCAATGATTTCTGTTAACATTTGGTTAACGCTTCTAATGCACAAACTAACATAATGTGTCGTCCACAACTAAAAAGAGTGAACTGAACAATGTTTAAATAGAGTACTGATACTGGGAGGGAAAACCCAACAGGAAGTGGTTCATCCGCCCCGTGTGGCCAGGTATATATATATTATACTTCGCGCGGCTTAACTTCGCGCGAAGATAAAGCGCGCGGCTTAAATTCGCCTCGTGTGGCCGGGGCCATATTTCGATACGTATTCAATCGTTAACAATAGAAATTTACAACTGAGTTGACAACAGCTGAGTTTTACTCCATAGAGGCTAAACACGAATTTTTCCCCTAAAGAGTAAAAATGCTACTTTAGACCCGCAACACATGCACTAATGACGACTGTTTTTATGTAGTACTAGCTGTACCCGCGGGCTTTGCCCTGCTTAACTTCATATGTATTCGCATTTCCCTTGTCTGTGGCATGGCTCAATCACGTCCTGGTTGAAGTTCGTTCGCTACGCTCACTCACGTTCAGGTTGGAAATCTTTCGCTGCGCTCACTTGTTTTCAGGTTAGCTCGTTCGCTACGCTTACTCGCCTCCAGGTTGATGTTCGTTTGCTACGCTCACTCACCTTTTGGTTGCAAATTAGATGTTGTCATACATTTAAAAAGTCATCCCTTTTATTGTTTATAATAGGTTACAGTCCTTTGATAAAGGTTTTAATGTGTTAATATTTAACATTGGAGAATTTAAACCTTGTTAAGTGCACAGGTGTGCTGCGATTGGGGTCTAATACATTTGGACTTATTCAAAAGTAAAATAGTTTTCTGTGCCGCAATCTGTAGAAACACTGTGGCACTATTTCAAATCATGACTAATGCTAATAGAGAATTTATTCAAACCTACAAAACAGTTGGTGAAAGTAAACATCTGCTTTTAAATTATATTTATTTGTAAACATTGTAGATCAAAAAGTCTGACATTGGCCCACTTAAAACCCTCTGGGGCAGAGCCCTTTTGACGGATCTGCACCAAACTTCACTCGAACCATCCTTGAAAGATGCTTAATGCCTGAAAGTTTCATTACAATCTCGCATTTCCCGCTTCGTGCATTTCCCTTGTCTGTGGCATGGCTCAATCACGTCCTGGTTGAAGTTCGTTCGCTACGCTCACTCACGTTCAGGTTGGAAATCTTTCGCTGCGCTCACTTGTTTTCAGGTTAGCTCGTTCGCTACGCTTACTCGCCTCCAGGTTGATGTTCGTTTGCTACGCTCACTCACCTTTTGGTTGCAAATTAGATGTTGTCATACATTTAAAAAGTCATCCCTTTTATTGTTTATAATACAGTCCTTTGATAAAGGTTTTAATGTGTTAATATTTAACATTGGAGAATTTAAACCTTGTTAAGTGCACAGGTGTGCTGCGATTGGGGTCTAATACATTTGGACTTATTCAAAAGTAAAATAGTTTTCTGTGCCGCAATCTGTAGAAACACTGTGGCACTATTTCAAATCATGACTAATGCTAATACAGAATTTATTCAAACCTACAAAACAGTTGGTGAAAGTAAACATCTGCTTTTAAATTATATTTATTTGTAAACATTGTAGATCAAAAAGTCTGACATTGGCCCACTTAAAACCCTCTGGGGCAGAGCCCTTTTGACGGATCTGCACCAAACTTCACTCGAACCATCCTTGAAAGATGCTTAATGCCTGAAAGTTTCATTACAATCTGTCGAGCGGTTTTGGAGTCCATAACGTATATACACATATATATACATACATAGTTCCTCTTTTATAGATATAGATGACAAAAACAATATAATATGAACCCTTGATCACTCCGCTCAATTTTGTGGATGCATCTGCGAACGCCACCTAGTTAGTTTCCTGTGTCATTTTCTCTCAGAACTTGCAATCTGTTGCTGAACGATAATTAGAATTATTTTTTGTTTGTTTAGGTATTTATTAAGCTTTTCAATATCAAATCTTCTTCCACCCCTGTTTTTATCCCTTTTTACAGTTGCTAGCCTTTGTTTTATTGTTGTCAAGACCAAATAATGATCAGATCTACATTCCCCTCCATGAAGGCTTCGTACATCTGTAATCCAACATTTATTTCTTTATCTATTAGTACATTGTCTATTTGGTTCACTTCGTTTCCACCTGGAGATGTCCATGTTCCTTGTGTATTTTTGAGGGAAAGCCGTACTCACTGTGTAAAGATTAAGTGTAGGCCTATGGCAAAAACTCAATAGTCTTATTCCGTTTTCATTTGTCGCATCATGTAAACTTTCTCTTCCTGTTACTTACTTTTCTCCATACTGGTTCCTTATCTATATCTTAGCATTGGCATCGCCCATATAGATTTTAAGGTCATAATTTGGTATTTGACCAGAAAGTTGTTCTAATTGACTGTAAAACAAATCTTTATCTTCATCACTTTTCTCTTTGGTAGGGGCGTAAAAGCTCACCATAGATATATTTCTAAATTTACTTCTTAACCTAATCATACACAACCTTTCATTTACAGCCTCAAAGTAGTGATGGGCGATACGGGTCAATGTATCGATACTGCGTATCGATATGTATCGGAACGTGGGGTATCGTTACGTGTATCGTATCGTATCCTCATGTATCGATTTTTATCTGTATCGTTAAAATATCGTATCGTATTGTTTATTTGTAATTTTTTTTTAAATTTAAATATCTCAAATAGCCTATACAAGCTGCATAGACAAATACCATGTTACTTACAAGCTTGTAAAGAGGGCTAGTGCTTGTAAATCTTACCTCAGAAAAGCCGTTTCCTTCCTGTGTCTTTTTATTTGTATCAAACATGCATACATAACCTCCAAATTCCGGTAAACCCTCAAAATTGGAAAACATTTTGTTATTGTTTTCCTAGTTTTTACACAGGGATAATTAATTGAACCAAAAAATACTAATAATGATGGTGGGTATGCCACTTACACATTAAATAGTATAATATGGATAATGAGCACGGCCGCCTTTAACTGCAGGCCGCGGCCTTCGAACTGGCAACGTCGCAAGTGGTGTTGTAACAGCTGTTTTGTTTGGAAGCAGCTAATGGTATTTTTGTATTTAAGAAGGATTCGTTACTGAACTATGACAATATTGACTCCGCTTAAAAATGTACAAATATAGATTTTAATTCAGATTGTTCCGGTTTTCAATTCTGTATGTTTTATTTTGAATATTTTAACAAATTTATGTTCATAAATTTAAATTTAAATCAATGAAGTGCGAATTAATGAGCTGATGTCACCTGTCTGCCATGTTATCTTATGAGACGTCTGTCACTGAACAACACCACTTGCGATGTTGCCAATTCTACAAGGCCGCGGCCATGTAATGAGGGTCCCCACTTCCATTAATGGTGGCCCTAGTTTTGAGGTTATTTGCAAAACATAGCTGAAAATACATGTTTTACCAGTGTTTTTGAAGATGCTAGGTAAAATATCAAATTTTCACTACTGCTTTTGAGGAGAGGAAGATGGGAAGAAAAATTTCTTACCATAAAAATAAGATTTATATATATATTAATAAATAAACAATACGATATTCGATACGATATTGGCTATAGGTGTATCGATACGGGCATATCGATACACTCCTACGTATCGATACAAAATATTGATATTTTGCGGTCCTTGAATCGATATTTGTATCAATACGTATCGATACGCACATCACTACCTCAAAGTTGATGAGTGATTCCAAATGAGTCTTCCTTACTGCCACTCCCACACCTGCTTTATATCCTCCATCATCTCTTCCACTATAATATATTGTGTAACTTTTTGAATTTACTTTGCCACAAAGACTTCCTGTAGGGCCACTATGTCCATCTTGTACTTTTCTAATTCATCGTTCAGGATATCAATCGCACCCGGTACTGCTAGGGCTCTAATATTCCATGTGCCAAATCTCAAATCCTTTTTGGGTAGCATGGGTCTTTTTCCAGGACTTCCAGTCTTCTCCAAGGCTATTTGTTGACGCTTCATATCTGGATCCTTTTACCAAGGTAGGGTGATTGGCCCTACGCTCAACCCCCAATGTGAAGGGAGGACCCATACTTATGGTCAGCGGATCCTTCAGGGGGTCAGCGCACGGAGTTTTTGAACATGTCTTACTTTAATATTTCCTTATTTATATTATTTTTACTTTTTATATATACCTGTCACACCCGTGGTAATTCTATAAAAGGCCTAGGCATAATACAATAATTAGGCTAGTCAATTGTTTAAAATTATATTGTTATTAGGCCTACTTACTTTATTTCATACTTTGCCTATAAACTTCAGGTTATATGCAGAATGCCTATAGTCATTGTATAAAATGCCTGCATTATATACTTTGCCTGCAACATTTATAATATCAATTACGAAGAAATAAATTGATAAGTAAAACGTTTTGCCAACAGAGCGGACATAATAAAGTGTGATATGTCGGCTTTTGCAATGCTACTTCAATGCTGTGGGCCGCTCCGTTTGCCCAACAATGGTGGGGGGGCAACACAGTGGCTTTGATTAACTATTATTGATTACCAGACTAGTGCGATCCAGTTGGACTATAATACATCGATGGAGAGGCCCACCCAAAATGGACAGCCAAGGGGCTAGGGTGAATGAAGTTGATGGGATGGTTGAATTTTTCTTTGTTTGAAATCTGGCATTTTGTCATTTTTATTTTCTCCCCCTACCTATTCTTCTTAGTATATGGAGAAAGTATTGTTTTTGTCAAAATTTTTGAGTTTGAGTTTTGAGTGGATGTATCCATTTTAGGTGACCCCTGAACCCAAAAAAGTGGATTTCGAAGTGATGTCTGTGTGTGTGTCCGTATGTGTGGATGTGTACAAAGCTACAGACTACACCTGTTGTCCGATTTTGATGAAATTTGGTATGTAGGTAGGCCTACTGATCTATGGTAGGCCTATCTCCAGGCGTTTTTTTTAATTTTTTTGAAATTCTTATTTTTAATGGGGATTTTCCCATAAAACCCCATAAAATAACGGAAAAATCAGATTTCCTAGAAAATGGCCCAAACGATATTGATAAAAATGTCCCAAATCCCAATTCCGTAAAAATTACGGCTCAAAAGCTCTCGTAACTTTAAAAAATCCTAAACAATTTTTAAAAATCAGATTTTGGAAAATAGCCTACCAGGTTTGATTAAAATTAATGTGCTATGGTCCTTGTAATTCCAAACAAAATAATGCAACTTCCATTAGGCCTACTATAACAATTATGGTTCAAAAGTAATTGCAACTTTTGTGATTTTTTCCTACAAAATTTTCATAGTTACTCCCACCGCTTAGCCATGATAAAGGTTGTTGACAAGCTTATGGGAGAAAGTATGCGTCAGATTGCTGATACCATTTATTTTGCTTGTCATTAAGTTAAAGTGTCCACTCAAAACTGTTTTTATACTTTTGATTTTATTGTTTGTAAGATGAGAAAAATAATGTAGGCTAATAATAGACTTAAGTTAATCACATTTCTGAATTATCTATCTAGCTTAGTTAAAATTGTTAATGTTCATTCTGTAAAGTCTAATATGTCTTTTTTCTAGCCTCTAAAGCCTATTAAAGTTGAATATTTTGTCAATAAGTTAGTATGAAAATGGTTGGCAATTCAGTTGGATGTGAACAGTTTTATAGCCTACATAACTTTTACACCTTGACAACAAATTAACTACCGGTATGCCTAAGTTTATGTGTAGGATGGACTGGGACTTAACTTAATGGTGTTTTTATACAATTAAATAATATGTTTTTAAGTGAATATTTTTCTAGGATTAAACATCCAGCAAACTAATTGAACTGTGCTCAATTTCAGCTGTGAAACATGCAAGAACAGTGGGGTTGTCGAATTGCTCATCAGCAATAAGCAACTTCACCTCTCCACAAGCATCACTAACAATAATCAACAGATCCCAATTTACTGGAAGAAGCTACACCTTGAATAATTGCAATTTTGGAACTTTTAGCTTACCGACTATACTCAGCAGGTACAGTGTTGTTACAATCATCACCTAATTGTTGAATTAATCATAGTTGTGCAAACCTCCTATCAAATAGTTTTGTCTAATTTGTACCTAAACTTTTTATTTAACGAAACCAATCTTGACATTTTATTGCTATAGAATCATTAAATTATCAATAAAAAAAAATAGACCTATCAAGAAATATGAGAGAAAATATTAATTTGATAGTAGCACACTGAGTGAGACTTGTGCAGAGAAATAAAGTACAGAGGAAACATTCATTGGTCGCTTTAGTGGTGTCTAGCACTAGTGCTGGTGGCAAGGGCAAGATCCAACAACACCCTTCTCGTCCTCATGTTGGTATTATAACGCTTACAGTGGAGGAAGACCATTGCCATTGCCATTGCCCTGTGCAATAGGATATTCTGCCGTTTGGACTTGTCTGCAGGTATACTTCCTGCATATCATACCAGAGCTGAAAGCGCACGGTTATCCCACATGCATGTTTCCTCTATACCTTACTCCTTTGTGGACTCATTCAACATTGTTTTAAAAAATACCCCGGCCGCAGCAAACCTGCCAACTAAGCAAATTTCCAGTTGCCTGAATTGATTTTCAATAAAATGTATTTAAATGGCAACCCATAAGGCCCATGTTAATTTTTTTCAAATATCAAATTCATTTTTTGTGCTTATTTTTGAGTCTTTTTTAGCGAATTTCCCTATAGGGAAGTAGCTATTACCGTAGGTCTCATAGTGAAGATCTAGGCCCGGGAACGATTTACTTTTTCATTTTGATGTCCCCAGAGGCCAAAAACACCATTTGTTAAAATTTTTATATATATATATCTATAAATAGATATATAGTATATGTGTGTCCGTCTGGACGATAACTTAAGTAATTATTGTCCGATTTTGATAAAATTTGGTTTGAAGGTGTAAGGCGGGATAAACTTGAATGAGTTTGCGAACCAGCATGATCAGCCCATGGCAACGGGGTTTAATGGGGGGCTTTATGGGGTGAAAACGGGCTTTTCTAACTTTTTACCCTTAAAACACAAAATACAAAATTTATCAATTTTTCTCCAGACCTTTTTAAAGAGCTTAAAAAAACGAATAATTTTGTTCCAAATTGTTTTTGTACACGGTGATTGGTTAGGGAGAAAATTCAAAAAAATTTTAATTTAAAATTCCCATTCTTGGAGAATATTGTAAAATGTTGTAGTTGGCTTGTTTATGGATATATTTTGATCAAACTTGGCGACTTTATTTATTTCATACTAAGCTATTGATATTTTAATAAAAAACACACTTTATTAGTTTCCCTGTAGCAGCTAACCTAGGTACCTCGTTAAACATAAATGTTAATTTAATAGATTAATTGAAAATCAATCCAGGCAAATGGAAATTCACTTAGTCGGCAGGTTTGCTGGGGGTATTTAATTTTTAAAGGGATTCTGCACATCTACAGGAAAATATCTTTCATTTGGCACCAACCGCGTGTAATTCGGTCCAGTAAGTATGGTCAGGTAGCTGTCATAAGTTTTGCAAAAGTTTTTTTTGTAAAATATTAATAACTTGTATAAACTAAATAAATTTACCAAGTTTGATCAAAATATATCCATAAACAAGAAAACTTCAACATTTTACAATATTTTTCATAAGAATAACATGGGAATTCTAAAATAACCATTTTTTTTAATTTTCTCCGTAGCCAATAATTGTACAAAAACACTTTGATGGTACTAAATTATTTGTTTTTTTAAACTCTTTAACCCTCCGAGTGTCCATAGTTTAGGCCTTAATGTCCACCTATTTTTGGCCCCTTTGCAAGGTTTTATTAAAACGGATCTGAGAAGCTTAAAACAATGTTAATTCTAATGTTCTATATACCATTTTGTTTGGAAAATCATGGGCTTCAATATTATATATAAAACATAAGGAACATTTTTTCAAAAAAAAATTTTTAGGTAAAAAAAAATATAATTTCGAAAATTTTCAAAAAAAAAAAAAGTTCGCGCTCAATGAAATTGTATAAATTATAGGCCTATAAATATTTGAAAATAGCCACTTTGTTCTAAATTTAATGAGGATTACAAATATATAATCATATAGCGAGATAAGTTATCAAATAAATAAGTTATGAGCGAAAAACGGATTTCAGTACATAGCGTTTAGCTAAGAATGCATAGCCTAACCATAGCTAGGAATCTGGCTGATAATTTACATCAATATCACTACCTACTTCTTCAGGATCATCAACCAGCACTTCAAAACCACTTAAATCTTCTTATAATGCACCACGTATATCACTACTTTTGATTTTTAACACTAAAACAATGTAAACGTAATAAAACACATCAGTCATCGGTCCGGGGGAACCTAGCTGTTTACAAATACACGCACGTCAGCTGTCTGCTACAATATTTTCGGAACTAAAATGAATAGCGCTTAGAGACAGACCTCTGGAGAAAGCTTAGAATATTACGGAAAGAACGATACCTAACTCGATCCAGTTCAATCCGATTCAGTCAGTCATAGAGCCTTCGCCGTAAACGATGTTTGTGCGTCTTAAAAGCGACGCGTGACCCTACACAAAGTGTGTTGTGCGTCGTTTTTATGACGCGTGACACTCGGAGGGTTAAAATGGGTTGGAGAGAAGTTGAAAAATTTTGTGTAGAATACTTTTCAATAAGTTAAGTTTAATGTATTATTGAGGTTCTATTGCATTTTCTTCTAGAAAAAGTAATGTGTGTATTAAATTTCAGCAGCTTGAAATTCTTGCAACCAAAACCATTGCAAGTGGACACAGTTAGAAGTGTTATAAAGTTTTCCAAATCTGGGAAGAGGAAAACAGTAAAACTGGTTCTTCAAAAATTTTACCGGCTGCATTGGTAAGAATTTTTACATCTAAATTACCGGTAGTTATATTTTAATTTATGGACAGTATTGAACCACAGCCACCTCTAATACAAGGCTGCGGCAAGCAAAAAGTGGCAACGTCGCATCTGTGTCTTGGCACGTGTGCGCTGTAATTATACTCAAGAGGAAAAGGTTGAGAGAATTTATACAAAGAAGTTTAATTTATTAAGAGAAAAAATGAGTAGCCTAAGTGTTGTTATGAGAAGTGATTCGCGGCTGAATGTATGCAACAATGGATATGGTCATGTGATGGAATTACACGGGCTGTTAAAAACAAAGACATTTAAAAATTAATACATAAAACAAAGAGACCTGACTGAACATACTGCCCCTTTTGAACCAACAGGGTTCAACAAAAACAAGAGAAATTAAAATATAAAATATTAACACAAACAAAAAAACTGAGTGGGATATTTATGTAAAATTGATTGTCTGAGGAACACATTTAAGGGATGGGAAACACTTTTATCACTGGTCTTGTATACTTGACTGTACTGTTCACTGTTTTAACTTTGACCACTCTGACAATGTCGTCCAGTCCAGTTGAAGTTTCCACTATTCGACCTAATGGCGAACATAGGGGAGCAGTTCTGGTGTCTTGAAGTAAAACAAGGTCACCAACCTTGAGGTTTTCTTTTTTGAGGTTCCACACAACGCTGTTGAAGGGTGTTCTTGGCTCCAATGGCGCAAAATATTTTGGGTAAAAGCTTGAACACTTTGCCAACGCTTAAGGCGGTTAGAAGTCAAATCCGTGAGGTCCGGTTCAGGAACAGATATCAGAGAAGAGCCAATGAGAAAATGGCCCGGAGTTAAAGCTGTTAAGTCCAAAGGGTCTGAGGAAAGAGGAGTTAATGGTCTTGAGTTCATTAGTTTTGCAAGTAAATAGCTACAACATAACTCTAAATGAAGAAAGGAGACTGATTTCAAAGGAGCAAGGCGAGTCTTAGACATAATTTTTCGGATGATAACTTGACCATCAGCAGTTGTTGTACAAAGAAATACAACAGCAGCATAACCATGAAAAGATGCATCTGCAAATCCATGAAGTTGAATTGAACTGCCTGATGTAAGCTCTAAATTTTTTGGAATTAGGATTAGGAAACGTCAGACAATTCTTCAAGAAAACTCATCCAGGGCTCAGTCAATTATAGGGGTAAGGGATCATCCCAATTCAAATTCTGTGTCCAAAGGTATTGCATAAAACATTTAGCTTTCATAGTTACTGGTGTTATAAAACCTACTGGGTCATAGATTTTGGCAATGATGCTCAACACTTTTCGTTTAGTATGTGGATTTGTTGTACATGGCTCTGAAATGTTGAAATGGTAAGAAAATGTATCTGTAATAGATGACCAATGTAGACCTAGAATGCTGAAATGGGCTTGTGATGCATCATGGAAGAACATACGAGTTTCTAGATGTTCTTGAGGCATATGTATAATTAAGAAGCTTCTGTGAATTGAAGGTCCATTGATTTTATTAGGAATGACAATTGTGAAACAATAATGTACGCTGATGACACAACTCTTCTATTTATGCATGACTTACCACAAGAATTACACTCCAACATCTTATCCTCAACAGACAAAGCACTGCAGTACTGCCTTCAAAATGACCTGGCCATTAATCCATCAAAAACAACCCAGTTAAACTTCAGCCGAAAACATGAACAAATCCAAGAAATTCCTGAAATAACCGTTGAAAAAAACTCAAAACTGCTGGGCCTGACAATTGATGAAGACCTCTCCTGGAACGACCACATACACAACCTGACCAAAAAACTTGCATCTGGTGTCCATGTAATAAAGAGGATGAAATGGATAGGAGGTCTGGAAACAGCTAAGACAGCATACTATGCTGTAATAGAATCGCATATAAGGTATTGCTTAATATCTTGGGGAGGAACATCAGAAGCAAACCTCAACAAAGTGTTGGTACTCCAGAAAAAAGCTGTCAGGGCACTCTCCGGCCTTGAGCGCTTAGACAGCTGCAGGGAAGCATTTAAATCCCTTAAGCTCCTAACAGTGACAGCACTCTACATCCATGGAGTTGTCCTGTACACAAAAAAACTTAACCTTCCCAGAAATGAGAATTTTCACTCCTACCACACCAGAAAAGCAGCCGACTACAACCTTCCGATCCACCACACTACACAATACAGCAGAAAACCCTCTTATATTGGCCGAAAAATCATCAACTCTCTTCCAAACAACCTCAAGAACGCAACAGGAAACCAATTCAAACAGCAACTCTGGAGCTACAAAATTTGATGAAGCTATAGCTATTTTAAAAGAACTCTATATCCGTCCTAAGAATGAGATTTATTCCAGACATCTTCTAGTAACTCATTTTCAGAAGTCAGGGGAATCAGTTGACCAATATTTACAAGCTTTGAAAGATTTAAGTAAACCTTGTAATTTTTCCCAAGTTTCTGCTGAACAAAATAAAAATGACTATATTGGTGATGCATTTATCAGAGGTTTGATTTCCCCAGTTATCCGACTAAGACTTCTAGAAAATAAAGCATTAACTTTGAACGAAGCTTTTGAGAAAGCTAGAGTTTTGGAATTAGCTCAGTATCAATCAGAATCTTATAACAAGCAACATTCTCAATTATATTGCATGCAACATTCTACTACTTCAGAACCAGAATCTGTCAAAAGTAACATGTCCTCAAATAATGCAGAGGAAACTTGTTTATCAGCCACTTCCTGGAAATGTTATTTCTGTGGTTCCAGTATAAACATACTAGAAGTGAATGTCCTGCTGCAAATCATATTTGTCATTCTTGTGACAAGAAAGGACATTTCATAAAGGTTTGTAAGTCAGGAAGTAATTCATTACCTCCTACAAAACTTGACTCTAAAAAAACTTTCAGCAAAAATCCAGCTACATGTGCAGCTGCACCTAAATCTTTATCTAAATCTACTATTATGATTGAAGTAAATGGGATTAAAACTGATGCCTTAGTTGATAACAGGCCCGCTTTTATAAACGGGCAGACTGGGCATATCCCCAGGGGCGCCGGTGGTTTAGGGGTGCCCGCTGGGTGCCCCCAAACCACCGCCCGCCAGCAGTAGGAAAAAAGGGGGCGCTACTCTTGGGTTTGCCCAGGGCTCGACTGACCCTTAACGCGGCCCTGGTTGATACTGGTAGTTCGGAAACATTTATTAGTAAATCTCTAGTAGAAAAGAGGGGAATAACAATCTTTCCAACCACCATTAGTGTCACTATGGCTTCTACTTCTTATCAACCAGTTACAGCTGGCTACAGTCTTGTTGATTTGTCGATTCAAGGTCATATTTACAACAAAACTAAACTCCTTGTTTTAGACGGTTTATGCGCTGATGTTGTCGTAGGACATGACATTTTCAAGGAACACTCAAGCGTTGAAGTCTCATTTGGGGGTAAGAAACCTGTGCGGACTTACAGCAGCAAAGGTTGCACCCGTCCACTTGATTTCAAACTTAACTCTTGACTGTAGACCTATTGCAGTTAAATCACGACGTTATTCAGAAGAAGATTCGAAATTCATAAAAGAAGAAACTGAACGCTTATTAAAAGAGGGTATCATTGAACCAAGCACTTCACCTTGGTACCAAGCACTTTAACGCACAAGTACTTGTAGTTAAAGGTGAAACAAAAAAGAAGCGAATGTGCATTGATTATTCCAAAACAATAAATCGATTCACTCAACTTGACGCCTACCCACTTCCCAGAGTTGAAGATGTCGTTAAAAAAGTTTCAAAGTTCAGTGTTTTTAGCACTATTGACCTTAAGAGTGCTTACCATCAAATAAAAATTGAAAATGAAGAACGAATATATACAGCATTTGAAGCCTGTGGGCGCCTTTACCAATTTTGCAGAATTCCTTTTGGTGTTACGAATGGTGTCTCCTGTTTCCAAAGAAAAATCCGTCCTGATCCAGACCGCCTTCAGCCGCTCTTGAAACTACCACTTCCTCATGATGTCCAATCATTGCGTCGAACCATGGGCATGTTCGCTCATTATTCTGACTTTATCAAGGAGTTTTCAGAGAAGATTATTATCAATTATCAATTATCAATTAGTTAAGATGGGGACGCCACTATGTGCGTATTTTAACCCAAATATGAGTGAAGGATGAGTGTAGGATGAGTGGCGCGATCTTGTAGTCTTGTTAGTGACTAAGGCCGATATGTTCCTTAGACACAGCTGTTAATTAATAGCCCATACAGCTAATGGCAACTAAGGGACCTACAGTTTATAGTGGAATCCGAACCACATTTTTCCTTGTAATTTACGAATTGGTCTAATTATCAGGATAGTACTGCGGATAGTCGTAGTACTCACTAGTGCGGACGTTAATCCACACCAGGGAGCATCGCATCCACAGTGCATCCCTATAAATATCCACAATTCGTGACCTCCTAGTAGCTGGATTACAGGACGACGCCACCCGTCCCAGTCCCTTTCATTGACTAAAAGTTTTCCATTATCAGAAGAAGCAATTAACTCCTTCAATGAATTGAAAAATGAAATAGTAACTGCAACTAAAGCCCCAATCCAAAATGACATACCATTTACAGTTGAGACCGATGCATCTGAGTTTGCAATCGGCTCAACCTTGTCAGAAGCAGGACGTCCAGTAGCTTTTTATTCTAAAACATTATCAAAATCTGAAAAGAACCATTCTTCTGTTGAAAAAGAAGCTCAAGCAATCGTAGAATCTCTTAAGAAGTGGAGACACTATCTTATAAGATAGTCGGCCATTCCTACTCATTACAGACCAAAGATCAGTTTCTTTCATGTTTTACAATAAAGGATTTGGAAAAATAAAGATTGAAAAGATACAACGTTGGCGTTTAGAACTGTCTTGTTTCAAGTATGATATCATATATCGACCACAAGATTCTACCACTGGATTAGATCGAAAAACTTACCTTTTTCACTGGAAGAAGTTCGTCGAACGACAGCTCAATGTCGAATTTGT